TTTGTCTGACACCTGATGATAAACATTTTGGCCTGAATCTGATAAAGTTCTTAAATACATTCTGCAGGTGCTTAATAAGCTTAAAAATATAATATCAATAGGCTGCTCACTGATTTGAAATTAGACGTGTTTATTTCTTCTGCTGAATTTATAGCTATAGTAGTAAAAATTAATCAGTACTGATTTACAGTATTGTGAGTATCAGTACAGATTGCTTATGCTGCTTGGTGAGACTGAGTCCTTTCCATTAATATCCAACATAGTTTCTCCAAGAGAAGTAGCTTATTTTATTAGCTGCAGAGGTAATTTAAGATCTTAAAAATTAATTGAAAAGAGACAAGTGTAATCCTCTGAGTCTGCATGCTGCAGGTGAGGTAAATAGTTGGAGTTTTCAAGTAATCTGGAACCTGAACATGGGAGCATTGCTATTATTTATTTGCAGAAGCTTGAAACAGTCTTTCCACTTCTGCGATGAAAATCACAGCCACAGGCTTTAGTCATTCGCAGGAAAAGAAAATCAGTAGTTTGTTCCATTATTCAGCACTGTGTATAATTTGTATAACAAGAAGCTTTAATAGATGTTTTTCAAGTTTTCCTTGGTTATGGAATTGATAGTGGGTGAGGGGATCCTATGGACCCCTCCTAGGCTGTGTTATAAATCTTTCCACAGCCACACAAATACTCACAGCAAACCCAGGGTTTTTTTCCTCCTTTGTATTTTTTTTCTTTACAAATACATGGATAAAGCAATTAAGCTTTACATTTTGTTTTAAGTATTTGCTTTTGTACATTGAGGACTTCAAGGACTTAACTGCATCTATGCAGATTTGAAGTGTCAATGTTATTTCATTGTTTACACTGAGAATCTAGCAGATTGTGAAATTCCTTCTACAGATTTATTGCCTTCTTTCTAAGTTGTTATCATTCCTTTAACTGCGACTTATAATTTCATCAAAAACAGACCAAGTATCTTGTAAGGGATGTATGGATGTAGGATTTTCATTATTGTGTCTAGACATAGATGGAGCAAATTACCAAAATATTCTGTATACTTGCTATTACACCAGTTAACATGTAGTGAATAGCCTACCTGTTGCCAGGGAAATTTTTAATCTGGAAAAATTTTAGTAGTTCTGTTTGTCAGAAAGGGTAAAAGGAAGGTCCAGGTATTAGCTGATTCAAGATCATTCTCAGGATTTAGTTTGATCCATTTTTAAATGTCTCAGAGAGGGAAATTTCTGCCATGTGTTTCAGTGAAGATATTTTAAAAATCAGTGGTTGAATTAATTTGATTTTATGACTCTGATTCCCCTGAACAGCTTCAATCAATTTTCCAACCCCACCAAACATTTTGAAGAGTACTTTTGTGTAAATTAATTACAGAAACTAATTATTAGAATCTCTCTGAAGCAAACAGTAAAATCAAATGTTGTGCTCTTTAATAACTGAGATTTAAAAATACATTATTACATGCTGTTGTTTTTTCTTTTTGATATTAAAAAAAAGCCCAACAAAACAACCAAACTCTGAGAACATTGGTCAGTTTGCCCGTGAGGAGAGAATATAGAGGCAATGAACCCTTCCTACTGAATAGACAAATCACTTGTCCCATTATCTGTGTGCTCACATGCAAAATGTAGCACCAAAAAGAATATGCTTCAAAGAAACCTATAGTTTCATATATATATATTTATATATCAGTAACTGATTATGGTTTTTGCTGCATTAGATACACAAATAGGCTGATAACCATGTGCTGCCAAACATCATAAAGCACAATGGATGAGAGAACAGCAGTTTATCTTTAGGCAGTGTCCCAGTTGAGCTGCTTTATGAATGGCAGGATTTTCCTTTATTTCAGACCAAGTTTTATTGGTCTAATATTAAAAGTAGAATTTAGTCCTGCTCCTTCCTGACAGATAATCTGTTCAGAGCACTTGAGCTGTCCCAAGGTGGCTCCCAGCACATTATCATGTTGCATTTTGTGGTCAAGACAGTCATCTACCAAGGACAATTTAACAACTCTTATGAGTTTATTTGAAGCGATAAATTTCATTTGCAGAGGAAAATACTTTGCTGTTGCTCTGATTTCCTAAAGCTGTCTTTATGCCAAAGTCAGCTTGTCCTTAGAAAGGGTAAAAATGTCTGTAGAGGTTTATAATGGATACTTTCATGTCCATGATTTTTCAGTTAGATTTACATGTTGAGCTTATATTTCTGTTCATAGTGTTAATATGACTAAGGAAAAAGCTGCAGCAAACCACAATCCAGACACAAGGCAGTATGTTGTTTTGTGGAGCACTAATAAATTAATCCATTAGTGACTGCAAATTTATTTTCTCTTGTCCTCATTATCAAGTATTCACAGGTGTGTTTGCTTTTAGCCAGTCTAAATTAAAAGGGCTTTCATACTAGCAACACATTACCATGGTGCCAGGACCACAAGGCACAGTATTTTTCCCACATCAACGTGAAAATGGAAAAATACTGATAAAATAAAAAATAAAAGTGAATAATCTTCCTATCTGAGAAATATATTAGTTTCTAAGAACATAGCAATACCAGAAAGAAAGAAGAAACCACAATAACAAAAGTAAAATACAGTCACATTATTTGGTTAATGACCCCATCTTGTGGAGCAGCACCCACGCTTCAGCACATTTATAGCTCTCATATGCATTTTTTTTTCTACCAGAGTCCATTTGCTGACAGTGAATTAGTTGGCATTGCACTTGCTGTGTCCAGGGAAGTGCTGTGCAGGCTGTTCATCACCAGGGCTGCACAGCAATAGAGCAGTTCTTTGTCACACCATGAATTGCAGGGTCAGTACTTCACATTTCAGTGTTTGGTTCAGTCTCAGGTCACCACAACAGCTCACATCCCCCACCAGACCTGCTGGGAGAGTTTCTTGCTGTTGGTAAGAGGGGACAAAGCCTTTCTAAAGCTGGAGCCTGCACAGTCGCTGATTTGCACCACAGCAGTGCCAGAGAGAGCATTCACTGGTGCCTGGTCACCAAGGGGCAGTGATGGTCACAACCAGTGCCAGGGTGTGCTGATCTGCCAGAGTTACCATTTCCTTGCTTTCTGTTCCCAAAGAGCCGCTCACAGGGCTTGCTGAACTACTGCTTGATTGGCAGATTGGATATTTTATTGTAAAGGTTTATCCCACTGGACATCCTTTTATCGTAATCTGGGGAAATCAGCTTTGTGAGCAGTATACAGTGTGCTGGTTGCTGAAGTTGTGTGCACATGAGATATTAAAAATAAATCACCTGACATGTTTCCACACTTTCCAGCTGAACATGTTTCCCAGGAAGGCTTCATATATCCTTGATTCTCACCTAAGTATAAGCCACTCAAATATGAACTGAAATGCCTTTTTTCATCGTTTTAAAGGAAAGGTATTTTTTGTATCTATTTTTTGAGGAAGTGGTTTTTAACCATGTTAGTGAACTCAAAGTGAGAATTGTAGGTTGCAGTTGGAGAACCAGTAGAGAAGGTGTATAGCCAAGTTAGGAAAGAAGAAATTTTTTTTCAGTTGTTCTACATAGACATAAGATGATACTATATGATCTTCCTCCATGTGTCAATATCTTTAGTTCCTTAGAGACCAGATTATGGTGCTTTGGTCTCTGCTATCTGTTTTTAAAGTAAGGAATTTTCAACTGCATTTTGGTTTGATTTACAGAAGGAATCAAAGGTGTGAATTGCATGTAGATAGCGTTTGCAGATTTCCCAGGTACAGAAAATTAGGGGGGAAAAGCTACAAATCTCTGTAAATATATGTTTGATGCACTTTTGATATATCTCATGCTTTTATAGGAATTCCATTCTCATTAAAATTTAAATTCCTGTCAAATGTACTAGGGATGTTTGTACATGATATTTGTATGTGAGTGCAAGAATACAGATCATTATGTGAAGTCCATATATGTATGGTTTTGGGTTATGTATTTTCAAAAGGAAAGATTTGTTTGTCACTAAACTTGCATAATGTGCCTTCCCTAACACCATGCTAACAAGGTATTTATGCCATATACCATCATCTTGTGTTCTTTGCTTTTGAAGTGCATGAAAATAAAATGTGGAGTTTATCAGCTATTCTATGGATTTGTATGCTAAGTGAACTGAGCAAGCTGATGCTCGGTGCCTTCCTCTGGGTGGATTGAAAGGGTGCAAAAGGTGAAGAATTCCCAGCATTTTCAACAGACACCCAAATATTCCATTATCTCATCGCAGGTACCAGAGTTGGCAGTAAAATGAAGTGTTTGAACTAACTTTTGGGTTATGCTGGAAAATCTTTTAGCTTTGCTATGTAGCTCTTAGAGGACTCTAATTCATTATGTAAAAAAAGAGCCCTGAAATGTTTAGAAGTCCGTGTGGTAATTAAATCAATATTCTAAAAGCGTTAAGATTTTTGCTTCACTTTGAGATGTCTTGAAATTATTGCATGCTGTCTGTTGATGGCCAGGTTGGGAAGGTGGCTTCCCTGGGCTGCTGTTGGATTTTGTTGTGCAGCAGAGAGCAGGCAGGAGTCACGTTGGGTGCAACTGTGGCTGCTGTGCTCAGGTGAGAGCTGCCAAACTCAGTGAAAGCCTTCCATTCATCTGTTCAGGTTTTGGTCCCTGTCAGAGAAAAGGAAAGAACCAACCTTGTCTAACTAAGGACAGTGGTGAGCAGGTTGAGAGAGGAGTTCCAGGAGGATGGGAAAATGAAATGCCTTTAGGTAGCTGCCTTGAACATAAAGTCAAATATAAAGGCATTCGTTTCCTACCCCAAATGCACATCTCTTCATGTGAGAGCCGAGTGCCCTAAATTCCCCCTTAGGATTGCCTTTGGGGGTCAGAGCTGTGCCTTTGTTTTGGACCTGCACCCACACAGTGGGCCCTGACCCCACATGTTCTGCAGCACTGCCATATCAAGATCAATTTGTATTTTACTCTGTTTCTAACATTTCTGTTTCTTTTCTCTTTTTCTTTTACATGCTTTCATGAGTATAGCAGACCATTTAGGAATTGAATTCATGGGTAAGTTTTACCTTCTCTTCCTTTCAATTGCTGAGATTTATCTTGTTTCCTTAGTCCAAAGAACATGGAAGTTAATGGGAAGACTCCCATGACCTCCACCACTGGGTTTTGGACTGGGTTCCTCTTATACTTGCCAATTTCATTTGAAATTATAAGAAGGTTTAATTTTTTCTCTTTTCCAACTGCTATGGATCTTAAAACCTACATAATGATGTTTTAGTATTCCATTGGTATTTAATGAAACATAACATAAAGGTTATGTGACCATATAATCTTGAGGAATAGTATTTTATATGTGATTTTAGGGTAGAGTTACTAACTTTTTCATGTAGATGAAAGTAAATTTTAAATCAGATTTTTTTTTGTTAAGAATTTGTTGGTAATTGCAATATTAATAAGGTTTAATAAGAAACATCTTATTAAATATAACTCAAATCAGAGAAATACTTTTAATAAAATAGTCAAAAATCCATCATTCTGTGAAAAAAGTTAAATTGGTTAGAAAAAGAGCTAAAAATGGAGTGAATAATTTCTCCTTACAATTTTGGAAAGGAAGATAACATTCTGTTGGCTCAGCTGCAGCTCTGTGATGTGTTCATAGCCTGATGGAATGACAGGCTTAACAGATCACCTCTCAGCTGGTGATCTTCAGGCTTCAGGAAGCTGAGATCCATCTTTAACAGAGTTAGTGGTCCTTTGTGTAAGAACAGCTTGCATAAACCATTAAATATGAATGAAAACACTGTAATAAAAAGCATGCAATTTCCTACTGAAGTCACAAAACAGTTACTTTAAATATGCTCTTTCCCCATGCTAAGTTTTACTTGACTTTTTTAGATTTTATAATTAAGAGCCTTATAACCTATCAATTTTAAGTTCCAGCATGGGGATTTTGTTGACCACTTAAGTATAAATTGCCAAGAACCCAATAAGGTGATGAATATTAACTGCATGGCAGACTTCAGGAGCAAAGGTGCCAGCAGGCTCAGGGATTTTGTCCTCCTGCTTTTGGGTTTGTGCCAATCCTCGGGCGCTGTTCTCTCTGGGGAGCTGGTTCATGAGGCCCAGAAGTTTTGTGTTTCACTTCACCTTGTGTGAGGCTTGTGAAGTGCCAGTGGAATCAATGCAAGTGTCTTCAGAGACTTATTGGACAAGCACAGCTGGGGAATGGTTACTTGAAAGGCTCTGCAGATATCCTGCTTTTCCTGCTTAGCTTTAATTGTGAGCAGCAGTCTTGAGGCACACAAGTTGAAGGACAAGCATTTATGTAAAAGAGGATAAGGAGTATCGATACATGGGATGCTTTGAGTGAACCTTTCTCTAAGAAGCAGGAGAGTGTAACCCAAGAGGCAAAACTGAATTAATATAATTTTATTTTGAGACTTTCAGTTTCCTCTCTTTTATTTAAGACATTTCTTTAAGGCATGAACTAAAGCCAATCCCTGAAATCCTGGCTCAGAATAGTCCTCTCATATGAGTAGCTCTCAGATTTTTTTATTTAATACTGGAGCAGATCCTGATGGCATAAAAACTAATGAAATCTTGTATCTCAAGCCTGAAAATATTATGACAGCAGCCTAAAATGATGCTTGAAGTTGTTTTCTCTGGGCTAGAAAAATGCAAGTTCTGGAATCATATGCAGAAGTGAAATGCTTGTGCTTCTTAAATCCTCTTCTGGTCTTCATGAAGATTTACTTAGGAAATGAAAGCATGCATGGAATCATTGCTGTATCTGTAGCAAATCCACAGCCTGTGCAGGAAGTTCAGGTGACAATGTGCTCATCAAATTAGGGACACTCCTGTAAAGCCTCTACTTCTGGACTGTAGAAAATAATGACAATTAATGCAAAGAGTGTTTTCTAGCTAGAAAAAAACAACAATGTAGAGACAGTGCTGAACTTGTTTTGTTCGTATGTAATCCAGAGAACACTCTTGTTTTCATAGCATTTGTGGGCTCAGTTGCCTTAGAAATTCCATTTTCATCATCATCTTACAGAAATTTTGTTTGAAAACCATGTAAACCATTTAAGTTGGATTGCCAGGGCCAGCTGAATTCCTTCCAAGGTAGACAAAGCTGAAACCTCATGTCAGTGGGAACATCTGTCTGTAGAGGTGTCCAAGGGGCAGATGAAATGTGCACTGAAACTACACCCCTACTTTAGTGTACTTTGCCAAGGAAGGTAGATAAGTGTAGTCATTTCCTTCTTTTTTTTTCTTTTTCTTTTTTTTTTTTTTTTTTTGCTAAACTCTCAAGGATCAGTGAAGTGTATATACATAGCCAGTCCTTTTACTGTCCTGTTAGGAAGCTGTAGTCCATGAATTAATTTGTGCATCCTGTTGTGAACCAGTTGGTGCTGTTTTCCCCCACGAGCTCCTGTGGCAGCCCATTCCAGTGCTCAGTAGAGGCAGTGCCTGTTGCTTTTCCCTTGATTTGGTTGAAATCTCTTTCCTGATGGACCCTTCTCTCACAAACAGTGCTTTGGGAACAAGAATTATGCATTCAGTTTGTGTACCACACTGAATTTTGTGTTAACCTTGCTCATGGTCTCACACCCCCTTTCCTGTCTGGGTCTTGTCAGGTTTGTGTTCCATACAATATTCCATATTGTGCATTCCAAAACTTGAATATCTGTTACTTTAATATTGCTGCTGATATTGATCTGCACTGGCTGTTTGTTTGTATGGATAGCAGAGACAAAAGAAGGCATATTGATGTGGCAAATCTGTTTTAAAATGTTGCAAATGTAGCACTTAATATATGGTTCTGATGTATTCATGTGCAGCACCACCTGAATTAAATGAAAGCCAAGTATGTGGTCAAGGGACATTATGGCCTTAAAATTGTGGATTGAAATATTGTCATCAGTGGTCCAGCTTTATGAAACTTCTGGTGATAAAGAAATGGTTTGTACTTTCTAGTACATCAAATCAAAAAAAAAAACAGTCTTGTGTTTGATTGTCACTTGATTCAATATCCATCTCTGATGCAATCTCCTGGACAGGCTTTGGGCAAGGTCGTTTAATCTGTCTGTGCTTCAGATTCTCACTTGCAGTAAGTTTTTTCAGGCTTTCTGAATTTAGATTCCTCAGCTCTCAGGGGGCTTTCTTTCAGTACCACAGAAACTATTTCTTCCTTGTGAGGGGGTGCAGACTTGGCTGTGTCCTCTCCCCATCTCACACAGGAGCAGAGCGCTGTGAGGAGAGCACCCAGCAGCTCACCTGCTCTGCTCTGGTGTCCTGTGTCTCACCAAGGAGGATACATGCACATTCCAACACAAAAGTAAGGAAAAGTTGTCACCATGGTCCTACAAACTGTAAACATGAGCAGCATTAACAATTCTGTGTCAATGGGAAGCAGGCTGGTGGTTGGTAATGTGTATGCGAGCAAGAGAGATTGTTAAAAAAATTGTCAAAAGAAGCAGCTGTTACACAATGAAAAACTAAGCGATGTATCATTAGCATCAGAGAGCATGGGGTTACAAATATCTAGAGATTATAATCAATTTTTGACCCAAGTGGTTAACTGCACTTCAGGGCTGAATGGTTTACCTTTCTGGTGAAAATTTTGTTGATGAGGAAAAATATCTGTGACAGCAAACATGGTCACTTTGGAGCAGCTGAAAGCTGTTGTGGAACATGCACTGGCCTGTTGCGTGCTCTCCCAGCTGCAGAGTGAAGTTGTTACCTGAGAGTCACCTGTGGATGTTGTGAGCTGCAAGCCAGTGCCTGAGACAAGGAGTTGCCTTTTCAACTCATTTCTTACACTGAGGATAAGTGCAGTTAAAGTGTGCTAAGGCATGAAACACAAAGGTGAATATTGGAATAACCCGCTGGAATAACACAGGAACAAACATGACTGTTTCAGCAAGTTGCCTACACCAACTCTGATGATCCAGAATGCTGATCTTTTATGCTGTAACAGTAATTTATGGTGAATACAACTGGAAATAAAATGCTCCAATAAAGTTCAACAGCCACTGCAGTTTTTGATGGAAATACAGACATAACATGAAGTAGTCTTCATCCTTGGGCTCCTTACCAGTTAACCCAGTATCAGTGGTGTGAACAATTCTGGTGTGATAATCTCAATCTCCCCATGCGTGAATTACAGAAAATATAGCAGTTGTTATATACAGTCACTACTTTTAATTTGTTTATTCTTAAGTCTTAAACAGAAAGTTAATTTTTTTTTCCTTAGAACTACTCATCTTTTCTGGAAAAATCAGGAGCTTCACTGAAGTCAATGGAGTAACTGAATTCAATGGAGTATGAATGGTATATAAAATCTTGTAAGTGCTGAATCATTAAATAGCATTTAATTGAGCAGAGTAATAAAGTAACTCAAGAATGGGATCCTATTAAACTTTACATATCTCCTTGCAATGGCTACAGTGTGAAATGTGTTCTGTTTTCCGTAGTCTGAGCAGCTGTTAACAGTGGAGAAGGTGGTGCATGCTGTATTTTCACTGTGCCTATTCTTGCTGCCTCCTCATTGTGCTAAGGTGATGTCAGACTCTGGGAATACCTGCTCCAGTTAACCAGATTGACTCAGTGACCTTGTGTCACACAACTGTGACTGATGCATTCTGATTTTTACAAACTGCAAAAGTTGGTTTTGCTGATGGTTAGGATGACCAATAGTGCAACAACTTAGTATTTTTCCAGTAGGCCAGGAATAAAAAGGCAAAGTTCATTAGTCCTTACACAGCTCAAAAACTGGGAACCTAGGTTCTTTCCTCTGAAACTCAATGTTTTGCAATAGCAACCAGAAAATGATAATAAATAACCTGTGTGTGCATGGATGGTCCTTACCTCAGTTACCATTTAGAAGCTCTTATCTGTTATAAAACGCTGTAATGCTCCAGTCCTTGCTGGAAGAGAGGATGAATGAACATTCGTTGAATTACATGACCAAAAGTGTGTGTGTTCTAAAGGATATATGTTTAAAAAATAAAGAAATTAGGTTAAGTTTTCCCTGTATTCCTTTTAATGGTATAAAG